TTTTTTGTTGACTGTATGACTCATCTATTTTAACCCAATTTCTCCGAAGAGACCACGGTAATGAAAAAGTATAAAAGGAACTAGGCACTTGCAGCTAGAACTTAAATCAACAACTATGACCAACCAAAATAATTTTGAAAAAATATTAGAAAATGAAATTTACATTCATGAACAAGTAAAAAGTTTAAGAGAATGGTACAAGAATAAAATACAAGAATTTGATAATATCTTTGAAGAGATGCAAATACTTTGCAAGAATACATTGAATCTCATTTCACAATGGAATCAATCTAATACAACTACAAAATACTTTATTAGCGCAAGAATAAACATCGAAGGAATGCACATAATTGCATTAGGGGAGGTGATACAGATAGGAATAAAGTCAGATGCAATCAACAACCAATTGAAAGAAAATAAAGAAAAGATAAAGGAAATACATCAACTTTTAAATGATAAATTAAGACGAACAGTTGAATTTTACAGACAACAACAAATTAATTGTTTAACAGAAAGTATAAAAGGAGGAAAAAGAAAACCTTGAAAAAAAAATGAAATGACAACTATAGAGGAAACCCGAATAATGAAAATTTATGGTTTGGATAAAAAGACAAAATCAGTTTTAAAATCACAAGAATTGAAAGAATTAAGAGAAAGGATAAAAGAAGAAATAGACATTATGACAGATATTGAAAAAGAATTGGCAGAATTAATAGAGAAAAGGGACAATAGTATATTTTTTAAGAATTATGACCAAAAGAAAATATCAAAAAAAGAAGAAGAGTGGTATAAATCAAAACACCCTGAAAAGCAAAAAACTGACTAAACAAAGGGATTTCATATTACAAAAATATAAAAAGGACAAAAACAAATCCTAGGGCAACAACAATAACTTCAAGAGAAAATGGCAAAACAAACTATGGAAAAAAACCAACAAATGATGTTAGCTTTAGGACACAGTATTAAAGAAATAATAAAAATTACAAGACCAGAATGCGAATACATAACGACTGATACCACAAAAAGAAAAATTGATAAAATACAAGAAATTAGTGACAGGATATTATTAGATGCTCAAAGATGGGATGAATTGAATTTTTTGGAAAAACTTTTGGTAAAATTAAAAATAAGATTCAGGA